TGACAGCACAAGACATGACAGAGACCATGTGAATCAGTGAGGTGGTACCTTCACCATGAAGATGGTGAAAGTACAATATATGACATAGACCTTGTGAATCAGTGAGGTGGTACCTTCACCATGAAGATAGTGACAGCACAAGACATGGCAGAGACCATGTGAATCAGTGAGGTGGTACCTTCACCATGAAGATGGTGACAGTACAAGATATGACATAGACCTTGTGAATCAGTGAGGTGGTACCTTCACCATGAAGATAGTGACAGCACAAGACATGACATAGACCATGTGAATCAGTGAGGTGGTACCTTCACCATGAAGATGGTGAACAGTACAAAATATGACGTGGATCTTGGAGAGGGATACAGTAGAGCTAGTGAATGAGCCATTATGGATGTAGTGAGGTTATGAGAAATTACAAAGGCGTAGTGAAACATTTGAATGTCAAGTAACTTGAAGTACTTGATCTACTATGACTGACAGATTTTAAGAGATCAATTGATCACTCAATGAAGACATTCTATCTATCTATCTATCTATCCTATCTATCTATCTATCTATCTATCTATCTATCTATCTATCTATCTATCTAATCAGATATATATTATATATTTGTTTTCTCTAAAAAATATAATCTTATTTTAATGCGAACATTATTTTTCAACATACGTAGTCTCATGTCACTCTTGTTTTGAGGATCTTCATTGTTCCACGATACATCGATCTCTGTGTAACCAACGTTCTAAAGTTCTAAAAGAAATTGCTTGAACATTTGTAGAGGTACGCAATATCGAATATAAACATCAGAAGAGTTTACTTTCATTTTGTTCTATTCTATTGGAGTATGAACCTACTTTATACAATGTTTGACCCTCTCTATGACGGAGGGGCAATGCCGGGGTCGTGCGTCTCTATTATCAGCCTGATGACCGAACTGGCCCAGCGTTATCAAGCCCGACCCCCGCCAAGGTGACCACTTGTAGCCGTTTGGCCAGCTAATTGGAAGAGACAGACATATGGCCAGTGACTTGAGTAACCAATCCGCCGTGAACATACGGCAGTGGCCATCCCGTGCACGCCAACAGCCGCTCTTTGTGGCCAGTTTTCGGATGAATGCAAGTATGTCAGTCTTCACTACAAACATATCGGAAAAGAACTAGACTATCATTACTATAGCTTAAAGAACACTAAACTTTCTTATCTCGGAGTGGAGGTTATTAATGCTGTTTGTATCAGTGCTTCGAGATACAACAGTTCCAGTTTCCCCATTGAACCCAAGGGAACGGGTCATTGTAGTAGGAACTTGGGAGGTTTGCGTAAAGCATGAAAAGGCTCGGCTTTGTGTTGGCAGTGAATTTTTCCTGTCAACCGTCTTCCATGTCTGCCAGGAACATGGCGGTTGTCAATAGGCGGGCAGGTGGATAAACATCCCATGTTGTCTTACATGCGCAACTAGCCCCTGTAATTTCATAATTAACATGGAATTATAGCTCGGTAAACACGTCTTCAATGTTTTGTGCTTTGTCGAATGTAGGCAGTCGTAAGAACGACAGATGAAACGCTGACTAGGTAACGGGTAGTTTCTGGTAACATGCAACATGGGTGTCCCACAACACAGTTTTGCTGAGTGTGTTATCACAACAAAACATGTAGTTCTTGGACTACATGTCAACGGATATTTGCACATTAAGCATTTACTCGGAAAAGATTCGGCGAATTTAAGAATATTTGGTGTATAATTGTTTTTGATATTTGATATACAGCTGTGGTTTTTTTAACAAGAACGTTTCAAATGGCATAAAATGTAAAACATAACAAAATACGTTATTCTGTATTGGCCCGTGCAACACCGTAGGGTTACTGCGCTATGACAATATTCATTCCTCTGGGTTTGCGGGTACTTCCACAGTGTCACAATCCGCACAGAAACATTGCGGGTACGTCCACAGTGTCACAATCCGCACTGAAACATAGCGGGTACGTCCACAGTGTCACAATCCGCGCGGAAACATTGCGGGTACGTCCACAGTGTCACAATCCGCACTGAAACATTGCGGGTACGTCCACAGTGTCACAATCCGCGCGGAAACATTGCGGGTACGTCCACAGTGTCACAATCCGCACTGAAACATTGAGGGTTCGTCCACAGTATCACAGTCCGCGCGGAGACATTACGGCAATCGTTGATGATGAAGATACAGCAACCAATATCACCCCATTAATACCCCTTCTCTATCTAAACACCGTACACGGGCACAAATGGGACACAGAAAAGTCAATCTATTTTAAGCTGCAGGACACTAATGGTCAGTCACAACTAGCGGAAATCGCAATATTCGAACATTCATAAATAATATAATTAAAGAAATTAATCACTATCGCTAGCATTCATTAGTATAAATTAATATTTTAGTAAACTATACATTTTCGAAATATATCCAACGCTTGTGGATTAGTACCATAACATATTTTATAGTATACTGAAAACATGAAAATGTGCAGATCATTGAGTTGATCGTTATATGTGTCACATATGATAATTTAACGTTTTACATTAAAATCAAATTTATATTTTAAAACTGAATAAGGTATCTTAGGAGAAAAATAACATTAGAACTCATTTAAACAAAAACCTCAAAATATGTACACAGCAATGGAAGCATATTGAAAACAAGTTATCCTGAGCGTCCGCGATGAAGTGTATGAGGAGCATCTAATGAACTGTTTAGCGGCAACTAGATAGCTGAATATCGTCCCCCGCTGATACCCAAGAGTATAATTAATTTGAAAAGTAAACCGTTCTGGTTAAGAAGTCCGATCAAACAGTGAGCAAAAGGGCTTATCAGGTAATAAAGCAACTGATTGTGCGTCCCACAGGGACTATATCGGGGGCCGATACACACGCCAGCCAATTTACTCAGTTCAGCGACACTGCCAAATTCATATGCAATCGATCTTGAAAGAAATTTGTTGCATTCATGGTGTCGTTTAACTGATAAGACAGTCGTTATGTTTGTAAATGATGGTACGTCGTACCAGATTAACACATATTTGAAGCTCAGCATTTGCCAGATAATTTATGGAAATATTTTAAAGCGGTCAGTTATGTAATTCATTCATATTGGTGCCAATAGACAATAGAGCCATCATACATTTGAAGTATAAATTTAGGTACAGTTTCTTATCCCTATATAGTGCATACATCCAGGCATGCTCTTTCACACGGGAATAATGAGCGTGGTCATGTAACTACATGTTACAACAGTATCAGATATGACATCGGTTCTCAACACGCATTCATTACACGTCTCAAATATACATGCATGTCGATGAAACTCAATACGAATAGAACTTAAACAAGCTTAGCTAATGCGCTAATTACCCATTGCTTTTGTAAAGTGATATCTTTATTACTCTGAGGGGGCGGGCCTCTATAAACTCAATTACCATTCAAAACAACCAACACAAACATGAGGCGTTCTGTTTCCCCATACAAGAAAATACACATATTTGAAATATAACCTTGTGTGATTTGTTTAACAACAGTGAACCATTATTACTCGAGAAACAATTGTAGAACTGGTGGAGATAATTCAATTATCTCCTGTTATAATAACGCTGATCGGGAAAAGAATTCTAGTTTATCCCTGGCAGATATTTTTACATGTCATACGTAACATTTTAACATCTCCAATCTTGTCAATATATCGTACAATATATATGATCGAAAATTTATGGATTTCTATTACAGTAAGTACCTTTTAAAAATACTAATTTACATTTGGGAGTTGTGAAGTTGGGGGCAGTATGTTTGCTTCATTAACTTGAGATTACAATGTTTTAACCTTCAACCTTTTTGATCTGTTAAGATAACTAATCTCCCAACAAAACAATAACTCCTGTATGATGTGCCCTTAATCCCCAGCCTGAACAGAGCAGGATTTCTGTCACATCTATTTTCTTCCCAAATACCCGAACAGACAAAATTGTCAAAACTAGTTATAGTGTATTGCTACAACCCAAACAGTCTGTGTGCGACATAAGAAAATATCAACAAATTGAAAGCTTCAATATCCGCCATGAAAATAAACACGAACTTGATATATCTCTCAGATATACGCTTGTTATGCTATCATTTAGATATTTAAGAAATGTTATGAAATTTTACATGACTCGACGGGTGAAGTTTCTCACCTTAATGCGGAGATAAAACCCCTTCAAAGTAGGGATATTTGTATAGTAAACAAACAGGCATGTACACTTTGACCTAACATAAACGCGATGACAGCGATGAGAGTTTCCCAGAATTCCTGGAGTTCTATCCATTTGGATAAACCGAGAGTGTCGCCAACTGGGCAGCAACACCACTGTTTACACATACCCATAAATCATAGAAGAAAAATCTCTTTCAAGAAATATAGAAAATAAATGGGAAAAGTTCAAACGATACGAACGTAAGTTTTCGCATAGTCAGATTTTATCGCTGGAGTATCTCATTTCCAGCAGCACGATTGATTCGTAATTTATTTTCTTGCCTTATCTCCCTCATTAATGAAACTCTTGATACGCTCACGGAACTTACTCAATTTATTTCTTGCCTGACCCCGGTAGAGTTTCATTCGGTTTAATAGCCGTAAAATCTTTAGAAAAAGAATCGCGATGTTTTCTTCTTCCGGCCTGCAAATTAGTACGAAGGATCTTAATTATATTATAGACTTGATGACCAGCCGTAACAAATGTGATCCACGAGCAAAGAATAACTGGCGGTAAGCCGAGTGGAAAGTGTGAACACATTAGCGCTAATTTGTGAAGAGAGTACTTGTGGAAATTCTCACAAACTGATCACGGGAAAGTAACGCAGCGCCCTTCTATGTTTGATATAAGCTCACGTCTGTAATCTCCGGAGTTCATTTGGGTTGCCGAGTGTTTGCTGTATTATCCGACATATGGTCTGGGGTGTATACAGGCTTGGGTACGAAACAAGGGTAATGTCAACTTACAGCTATTGTTCCTCTCGGGCTGGTGGTGATGACCCTCAGGACTGCTGCCCGGGGGGTGGGGAATGTTGCCATTCAAGGTCGGGGAACACCCCTGTGGGGTGGGTAGTCCGTGCTGAGAAGGATCGGTGTTAGCAAACATTGCACAATTTTCACTTGGTAACTCTTCCAAGTCCAACAAATGGCTGACACTGAAGTTGGCTTTGTTGTTGTGTAATGCTGCCGCCGTGTAATGGTGAACTTTGTCAAAATTACTGCCAAACTGGTGATCCGGAGTCGGAGCTATACCGTAACTGCTCATCTTCCGACCTTCCTTCCTTCCTCACTTCTTCCCTCGTTCTCTCACACTGCGCGTTCTGAATTCACGCGGCGCACCTGCTGCTGACCACTGACCGGCCCTGTCTGGAGGATTCTGACCACTTGCAGCTTGACCAATGGTTCAACAGTTGATGTCCCTTCGAACACAAGGGAGTAGACGAGTAAACGCAAGTGCCAACATACAGTCCTCTAGCTAGAATGTACTCCCCGACGGAAAGTGGGGACGAAATGAATCCGCTGTAAACTGATCTGGTCCTTGTAAGAAACAGGCATAGTTTTTTGCCAGTTATTCCCCGCTTGTTGAGCGACAGGCGCCAGGATTCCGCCGTGCCATTGAGAACAGCTAAGGGGGTGGTACCAGTTCTGGGTCCCACGATTTTGGTTGGTAGGCTTTTGTTTACGCCGTGCTCCCCTAGCCAGAGTCGGAGAGATGCGCACTTGACTGATGGGTTTTGACATGGAAACGTTCTTCAGGCAATTCCACATCATATCCTACCCTGCACCTATCTCCAAATTCCTGATGATGTCAGGGAAGATTCCAGCATCTCTCACTCTAATTAACTCGCCTGTGTAACTTGCTACGTATGGTGGCACAAGTGAAAAGGTTGTAAAATACGATGTGTGTATTCAGTAAGACATCGCATGTAGCGTTAATTCCGTCAAGAATTAAGTTGTGAAATTTGTCTCACGTTGTAGGTTTGTTATAGTGTCGTAACATTGGTCTGAGTTTGTAGGTTTGTTATAGTGTCGTAACATTTGTCACAGGTTGTAGGTTTGTTATAGTGTAGTAACATTGGTCTCACGTTGTAGGTTTGTTATATTGTAACATTGGTCTCACGTTGTAGGTTTGTTATAGTGTAGTAACATTGGTCTCACGTTGTAGTGTTTGTTATAGTGTTGTAACATTGGTCTCACGTTGTAGGTTTGTTATAGTGTTGTAACATTGGTCTCACGTTGTAGGTTTGTTATAGTGTCGTAACATTGGTCTCACGTTGTAGGTTTGTTATAGTGTTGTAACATTGGTCTCAGGTTGTAGGTTTGTTGTAGTGTTGTAACATTGGTCTCACGTTGTAGGTTTGTTATAGTGTTGTAACATTGGTCTCACGTTGTAGGTTTGTTATAGTGTTGTAACATTGGTCTCACGTTGTAGGTTTGTTATAGTGTTGTAACATTGGTCTCACGTTGTAGGTTTGTTGTAGTGTTGTAACATTGGTCTCACGTTGTAGGTTTGTTATAGTGTTGTAACATTGGTCTCACGTTGTAGGTTTGTTATAGTGTCGTAACATTGGTCTCACGTTGTAGGTTTGCTATAGTGTTGTAACATTGGTCTCACGTTGTAGGTTTGTTATAGTGTTGTAACATTGGTCTCACGTTGTATGTTTGTTATACATTTAGTGTTGTAACATTGGTCTCACGTTGTAGGTTTGTTATAGTGTTGTCTCCAACATTGGTCTCACGTTGTAGGTTTGTTATAGTGTTGTAACATTGGTCTCACGTTGTAGGTTTGTTTGGTCTCACGTTGTATGTTTGTTATAGTGTTGTAACATTGGTCTCACGTTGTAGGTTTGTTATAGTGTTGTAACATTGGTCTCACGTTGTAGGTTTGTTATAGTGTTGTAACATTGGTCTCACGTTGTAGGTTTGTTATAGTGTTGTAACATTGGTCTTGTAGGTTTGCTATAGTGTTGTCACGTTGTAGGTTTGTTATAGTGTTGTAACATTGGTCTCACGTTGTAGGTTTGCTATAGTGTTGTAACATTGGTCTCACGTTGTAGGTTTGTTATAGTGTTGTAACATTGGTCTCACGTTGTAGGTTTGTTATAGTGTTGTAACATTGTAGGTTTGTCTGAGTCTCACGTTGTAGGTTTGTTATAGTGTTGTAACATTGGTCTCACGTTGTAGGTTTGTTATAGTGTTGTAACATTGGTCTCACGTTGTAGGTTTGTTATAGGTTTGTAACATTGGTCTCACGTTGTAGGTTTGTTATAGTGTTGTAACATTGGTCTGTTGTAGGTTTGTTAGGTTTGTTATAGTGTTGTAACATTGGTCTCACGTTGTAGGTTTGTTATAGTGTTGTAGGTTTTGTAGGTTTGTTATAGTGTTGTAACATTGGTCTCACGTTGTAGGTTTGTTATAGTGTTGTAACATTGGTCTCACGTTGTAGGTTTGTTATAGTGTTGTAACATTGGTCTCACGTTGTAGGTTTGTTATAGTGTTGTAACATTGGTCTCACGTTGTAGGTTTGCTATAGTGTTGTAACATTGGTCTCACGTTGTAGGTTTGTTATAGTGTTGTAACATTGGTCTCACGTTGTAGGTTTGTTATAGTGTTGTAACATTGGTCTCACGTTGTAGGTTTGCTATAGTGTTGTAACATTGGTCTCACGTTGTAGGTTTGTTGTAGTGTCGTAACATTGGTCTCACGTTGTAGGTTTGTTATAGTGTTGTAACATTGGTCTCACGTTGTAGGTTTGTTATAGTGTTGTAACATTGGTCTCACGTTGTAGGTTTGTTATAGTGTCGTAACATTGGTCTCACGTTGTAGGTTTGTTATAGTGTTGTAACATTGTCTATATAGTGTGTTGTAACATTGGTCTCACGTTGTGTTGCTAGTGTCGTAACATTGGTCTCACGTTGTTATATTGTAGTATAGTGTCGTTGTAACATTGGTCTCACGTTGTATGTTTGCTATAGTGTTGTAACATTGGTCTCACGTTGTAGGTTTGTTATAGTGTCGTAACATTGGTCTCAGGTTGTAGGTTTGTTGTAGTGTCGTAACATTGGTCTCACGTTGTAGGTTTGCTATAGTGTTGTAACATTGGTCTCACGTTGTATGTTTGTTATAGTGTTGTAACATTGGTCTCACGTTGTATGTTTGCTATATTGCTGTAACATCAGTCTCACTGTGTAGGTTTGCTATAGTGTTGTAACATTGTCTCCATTAGAATCCCCCACTCACCCCACCTCCTCACGCCCCCACACGCCTCCACTGCATAACTGGATGGTGATGGAACTATCATCTCAGGTTATTACACATATGGGACATATGGGCCAATACCTTGTTGGTTCGTCTATATGTGTGCTACTAACAATGGCTCACAAGAGCAGTATTTCCACAGTAATGTTTGGCACAGGTGTTGATCAGAAAAATATTATCCGGTACGAAACCTTGTATTATAAGCTCCAGTACATATGTTTTTTCACAATTAAGGATAATTACATTCTGTCTTTCACGGATATAGTACGTTACGTTTCAACGAACTATAAGTTCTCTTACTGTTTGTGACATATGAGCTATCAACCGACTCTCTAAACCAAAGGGATATCGGTGCGCTGATATGCTCAACCTTTGGTCGAGGATGAACTACACATCATTTACACAGAACACATATCATATAGCAAATATTATTTTGAACTTTATCGACTATTCATTTGACGCAACATAACTCAGAGGGATAAGTTTCTCTCAGCTTCTGACTGTATGCCTGCTAGTCTCCCATACATCACTTCCCCGTCAGCCACATGTCACAACCAGCCGCATCTCAATATCACGGCCCAATAAACACATATATGTTCATATACTCAACACAGGTTCCAATATGATGCTATCGGTTACTGAGAACATCAGCCTAAAACAACCGCCAGTCTGCGAAGTCAGTCTATCTGTTCATTATAGACAGAAGTCCGTGGAAACACACGATACTTTCCCTTCTGAGGAGGCAATATATCATTGACACGTATGTATGAAACCGTTATTTTCATATAAAGGTCAGTTCAAATAGAACTCGAACTCAGACTATCAACATCCCTTGATTCCTTCAAATGTGCCTTGAAAACTTTCCTCTTCAGAAAATATTACGGTGTTTAATAAGCCTATCCTGAAAGATTTCAACCAGTTTAGGTACAAATGCTGTTTGTGTTGTAACATCAACGTTATTTGTAGCGCTTTGAGGATACACTTTTGTATGGAATCCAGCGCGGTATAAATACACATATTAGTGTTATACTGAATACATAACGGTATCTCTAAGTTATACTGAATACATATCTCTAAGTTATACTGAATACATAACGGTATCTCTAAGACAGATATGTGGTGTTTGTGCTACTGTTTTAAACAGTATCAATCCAAAGATATGAGCACGGTATACTGGTATTCCAGTTTGAAATGCTTGTAAATTATGAAACTTGATTGACGCCTATATCAATTAGGTGTATCTTCTGATTTGACGATTTACAATTTCGGGTCTTTCATTAGGACGATGGTAAATTGTAGAGTAGGGGTGTTGCACTGTGTTTTAGAATTTATAAAAACGCCCGTGGTCAACTGGTAGCTTCAAGTAAATATTTCGAGGTAACTGTGATAAGTAACATATTTATACTGACGATTTGTCTTGAAGACGTATACATTGCATTTAACCCCCCTCACCTAGTCTGTCTCACAGTCCCCGAATCCCGTTATTTTCTCTACTGCCTAGTGATCCCTGCAAAGCTAAAGCCTAGTCTGTCGTACAGACCCTGAAGCAAAGATATCCAAGAAAGCCCACGCAAGTCTAGAAAATGTGGCAAGTCTAGATTTCCTCAGCTTAATGAGGAAAGTCTCAGGGCTCCTTTTCAATATATTATTTTTTCACTAAGAATTTTTTTTGCTGTAAAATATGTTCATTTCAGAGACTAGTTGTTTGTTAGTCTAAGCTAAAGCCCTAAATGAAGCAAGTCTAGATTTCCCCAGGTTAAATCTCTGGTCTCCCTGGGGCTCCTTTTCAATTTAAATGGGTTTGTTTGTTACTATCAAAATTATATGTATTCAGGGACTAAACGTTCGTCTACCCCTTCATCCTATACGCAATATTCTTCTATAAATGAATTTATGTTCAACATTATTTTGTTGAGTATATTTAGATATTTCCTGACGCATGTAATGCTGGGCTGTAAAGACACACCATACAAACGTTGACGAATCACATCCGGACATTTAAGAGGGATTTGTCTGTTGACAGTTAATACAGAAATAACGTTGGAATATTGTGCTCCAAAGATCACCATAATACCGGATAGCAATGCCCACTGAAAAGGTTCAAATGGCAATTGATACCGCATTTCGTCCCTCAGATTTTGCTTCAGAAAGGCCTTGGCTGCCTTGGGAACATAGTTCTTCAAATGCGTAGGGGGTAGGTGAAATTATTATGAGAAAAGAACACCTTTTTTTATCCCGCCCACCACCAAGAATTAACAACCACAAATGGGTAAATATATATCTCGTGTATATACAGTGAGTGAGTGAGATGACAATACAATATAAACACAGGCTATAGATTGCCAACAACAGAAGGTAGATCACCATACTAGGGACCATGGGGA